GTCAAGGAGATGGAGGCTGAATAAAAATTTGAGAGGTGGGGGACAGTTGTGTTTTAACCTAACGAGCTTGGAACTGTGATGTTGCCAAGTGCCTTCCACCCAATGGTGGCCTCCGCCAAAGCTTACAGGATTCCATTACGCTGCCACTTCCTTCTCACTCCTCATCCATGTCAGCATTTGCCAATGGGAAAGCCCTGTGAGATCAGAGCCCCTCAGGAAAGCTGTGAGGTGGAGAGGAGGGCGAAGAGACAGAGCATGTGACAGGAATCCCTTCTGAGAGTGATTCCTACAAGCCTGTGGATACATTTGTTATTAGTAGGGCACGGAGCTGCCCTGTCCTAACTTTCCCCAAGGTCCCCTTGTAGTGTTAATAGTGGGAGCCCTCATGACTCTGCAGTCAAACCTTTCCTAGCTTCTTCTCATTCTGATGATTTCTGGCACTTTTGTCATTTGTCACCTCCGAAGAGAAGCATGTGCCAGACACCTCCCTGGCTCTGCTTGGCAGAGGCCTCCAACCACGTTCCCCACATGTCCAGACAAGCACCTCACTAAGGCATCCAGAGATAGAAACCTGTTATTCTAAAGGTTTTATACACTGCTACAAATAAGAAATAAGAGGAATGTTTTAAAGAAACGAATACAATGGATATACGATTATTTGTATGTGTGTATGCACAAACACATATTTATACACATATGTGTGTATGTGTATTTATTCAGTATGAATTTTTGTTTAAAATAATCCAGAATTCCTGTTTCTGAGTCCCTTATTGGACACACTCTGCCTAGACACAAACCAGGGAAGGCTTGGTTTTGGCTTTCATGTCTGCAGAGGCAACATAAAAAGTTAGCACTCCGTGGTGAAGGGAAGGCATTTATTTTCACTGTATTTGATAAGTTTACTGAAGAAGATGCCCAGGGAGGCTTCCACTGAAAGACAAATTGACTTCCAGAAACTCAGAACTTCAAAGACTGATGATGATCTCAGGAAACAGAAAAACACCACGTAGGCCAATCACTCACTTGAGACTGCTCACTCTTCTGGGAAATAGGAACCTGACATACAATGTCCGCATCAGCCTCATCTCAGAATCCATAAATAATTCATGGAAGATATCAATTTATTTATAAGATATGTGGCCAAGAGAGAGTTCCGGTGTTTACCAATAACATGGCCCTGAAAACTCCATCCTATTGAAATGATTCCTGTTTTGGGCAGGAATAACTTGTGCTAAGGTTGTATCCACACCCTTTTAAAAACATGCCATTGGTTTTGCATAACTAATGTGAACACTGAAATGGGGACTCTTTAGAGACAAGTATGAACAGAGACCAGGTTTTCCCCAGGGGGTATGCACATGTGGTGGAAACTGACGAACCCAAATCTATGCTATTTGATGACTAAACTCATTTTAGGCTACAAGGCATTGTTTCAATTTTCCCCTGTACTATTCTTAATTCAGACCAAATTTTATCTTACAAGTAGAAGAAGTAGCTGCAAATAATTTTATGCCCTGCCAATGACATAGGCACTGATTTTTAACAAAAGGCTCATAAACTCTTTTTATGATACTGTAAAACTGGAGAGCTCATGCCCATTAAAACATAAGCTTCACGTTACATGTAATTAAGGCAAGAAGGGGAATGTAAAAATGTAAGTTTTAAAATGTATCTTGTATTACATATTAAGTGCACACAGAAAATACTGCATAAGTTCCATTTCAAAAGCAAAGGTGAGGACAAGCAGGAAATGTCATGGTAGGTGAATGATTCTGTGAGTGAAAAAACATTAAGTGAAAAATGGGTTGCTATTTCAAGTTCTCCAGGGGATATACTATATTGATGGTTAGAGGTCATTTTCTATTTTTCCTGATTGTAAATAAGAAGGTATCATTAAAGTCACATTCAGCTGCTATTTGGTTGATCTAGGTTATAATTTTTGGTCTAATAAAGTTTGAAAATTATTATTTATTTTTTCCTTAGGAAGGAGACCCTCCAAAGTGACTTGCGCATTAGGAAGAGGTTTGAAGAGATGTCCAAGGTCTGTCAAAGGCAGCTGGAGAAGGTACTCATAATTTTTATCCAGCCCAGAACTCAGTGTAGGGGGAGAAGCTCTCTCCTGCGGTTAGGGCCTATGCTGTAGCCCCACTTTCAACCCTGCTATGATTGTGATGGGCCTAATGGATTAACCTAAGCCATGTTCGCTTCAGTGTTGGCATTTTGTACCATCCTCTCACTTCTATGAATTTACTGCAAAGGGATGTCAAGAATTCTGAATCCCAGATCTTCAGCTATTAATGTAAGAAGATCTACTGGAGACCAAACCACCTCTTATATCTAAGTGGAGATTAGTGGATATACGATTGAGCATATATTACAACTTATGCCCATTTTATTTTAATGTTCTTAAATTTTTTTCCTAATATTCAAATTCATGATTTAATTTTAAAAGCATACAAATTATAGACTAAATAAAAAATTAAATAATAGACTGTAAGGAAAATTAAAATCTTGACCTTAATGCCACATACTGAGATTTTAACCTACAGATTTTGAACAATTTTACCATTTAAAAAAATGGAAGTACAATTGAGCAAAATATATAAATAAATCTCACATGCCATCACCATTAACTCATTAGCCTAGCACTAAAAGCTGCATCAAATTGATGTATTTCACCAGCCAACCATAAAATAAGAAAAGTCACTACATAGTTGAGAATCCATTGAAAACATTTTATATTTATGAGTTATGTTACTTCTGAATTCTGATGTAGCAATAATCAATTGTAATTACTTTGTTTTTTAAAAAAATCTAAACATTTTAATGAATTTTATAGGAGTTACTTTTTCATGTAATAAAGATAAAAATACAATGCTGCACATAAATTTCCTAAGAATATATCTTGGTTAGATATATTAAATGTCTCTCCATAACCTAATCTAAAGTGCAATTTTTCCCCCGGATATATTACACAAAAAGTTGGAAAAAAGACTTTTAAAAACTAAATAAAAACAGTTCTTTGCAGAGGGTGCTATGGGCTTGGGCAAAAAAGCCAGTCAGCATAAATCAAATTCAAAACCTAATCTACCTAAATATGATGACCCTGTAGGAATCTTTATAGTGTTTTCTCTAAAAGTGGTTGTTTTAACCTTGTTCTTAGTTGGATTTAAGTAGTTATCTTCATTTACATTGCAAATAGACTTACAAATTGTAAATACTCTTGATAAGTTTTAAAAATTAGTGTTTTGATTGTGTATTGGGTGTGATAAAGCATAGTCATCAGACATTCAATAGAGCCATAAAACAAATTCTTTATATTTCAATGAACATAAAACAAATGGAGCATCATTTTAGGAGGACTGCATGGTCTATATCAGTTAGAACAGAATGAGTTCTACAGCCCCCTACACCTGGTGACTGAGTCATAAAAGAAATAGGGAAGTTGATAATAGCATTTACTGCAGCAATAAAAACATGATAAAAGGCTCTTTGACAGTATGAAACCTTGGAAGCCGTGCCAAATACAAAATCTAGTTTGTCGGGACTGGCAGTATCCTGCTGTCTTTAGTAGGTCTTTGGGTTTCTGACAACCTCTGGTTCATCTCTTTAAGCCGAAGTGATCTATCAAAATGCCTTAGTTTCCAAGAGCAATCAAAATCATTTGAACTTTAAATACATATTTTAAGAAAAGAAAACTACGGTAGCATTTGTAGAGCAATTATCCCTTGATTCAGTCAAAATGGTAGAGTCTGCTGTAGTATCATTTTGCACTTGGATACATGTTTTTGAAGTTATCATCCCATATGAACTTAGTTATATTTGTTAATTTTAAATACAATAACCCTAGCCACTGATTTGATGACAGTTTTCGTTTCTTTTTATAAGATGATAATTCAGAGACAAAAACTTTAGATACTGATGATTCTTTCAGTATTTGCTCAAATTAAGGAACCCATAAGATAATATTTAACAAGATCTTAACCCTGATCATCTCTCTAGGCTCTTAACCTTCTTAGTATATTAGATACCAGTCCCCCCAACCCATGCATTAGGGCTTTGAAACAACTCCCATTGGGTTACATAATTTTTGACCAGTTTCTGTATTTCTTCTTGGAATCTTTTAGTGAAATGGAACTAAAATAAGAAACTTCAGATGCATAACAGCATTATTTATTTCCCATAAATGTTACCAGAACTATTTCTACCTCAAAAATCAGTGATTTCTTTTAACGCTTTCTAAGTGGAAATCACTCTTCTGTAGAGAGGACTGCTAGGCACAGGGGCAACTAACTCGAGGAAGACTAAATGACCCAAGTGTAAACTCACCCAGCAGGAAAGGTGAGCCCTTCTTTTTCATATGTCCCTACAGGATCCCATTGGCCTACCTGGATGGCTGGCAATTAGCACACCTGTGCCTTTAAACACACACACACACACACTGTGTCAACAGTGATGCTTGGAAATGCTCATGCAGTTATTCTTGACTTTCAATATTATAAATGTTTTCTTTAGTTTAGTTTAGTTTAGATTGGACACTAATCAATTCTTACCAAAAATAATACACTTCCCTTAACTTTTACATCTAAAAATATGTCAAAATGCCTATTCCTATTTTTTTCCCACTCAAATTATGAACTTGTTAGGCACACACAAATACACGTGCACACACATACACACACCTATTTCCTCAAGGTAAAATAAAATGTAGTTTTTTCAGTTAAGGAGTAATTAAAATGATTCTTAGCATTCTTATCTTAAAAAAAAAAAGCTTGTCATTGCACTATGTTCAAAAGCTTTGGTCATTGTACAGCAAGGAGTTTATCTGATCAAAATTTAGAGAATATCAGGGTTGGAAGGAACTGTATAGTTAATCTTATTAAACCATACTCAATACTTGAATCTGAATGATAATATCCTTGCCAAGTTGTCACTGTTTGCATGGTTGGATACCTCCAGTAAAAACTGAAAATAAAAGATGCTCTTGGAACACAGACTACTACTAATAAGATATTTATTAATACTATTATTACAATTGTTTCTAAAATCCATTATTATTTCAATGGTGAAGAGGTAAATGCCAGACTAACCTCAGTCAGACGGTTATTACAATCAGGTTGACAGTAAATTACAAGAAACACCCACTGACTATAATCCTCTTATAGACTATGTAATACACTAAAACACAATGGAGAGGTGGCATGAATTGATGACATTTTATATCATTCAAAAAACACATTGAAAACCTAAAAATAATGCTTGCATATAGCTGCAGATACTAGAAAAATCTTTCATTTTAAAAGCTAATTCTGTACCATCCTTTTAAAAAATCCATCATCCGTCAGATGCAGATGTGTATTGTTTATATCAAGTGATATTTGTGCTTAAATATAATTTAAGACAGTTAAATATAAATTCATGTTTACTTTCATACAAAAATATATATAAAAATAGAGTATTTAAAGGAGGTGGATATTCATACTAAGGAACTGATCAATCAAAATAGTTTTATTTTTTGTATGGTAATGAAATTGAGGTATTTGTACATTTGGTAATTTCAGCCATGTATTGAATTGACCCGCTCAGCTTTTTTCCCCCAAAATAAAAATAATCCTTTAAAAGCAGTTATGACTGTGAGATGTAATCTCACAATACAGCATTTGTAAAATAATTTACTATTTTGAACTTAACATATAGAAGAGAAAGTTCTCAATACTAGAATTATTTATTTTATAAGTATGCCACAGTTTTAATACAAAAAAATTTTATGCCTATTCTAAATTTGAATTAGATACAGTTGCTCAAGAAAATAAAAATACAGTTACTAGTAACCTAGTAGTATTTGTGGATATACACGAATGCCTTATGTAAATAAATGCCTATGCACTTGAGAATGCCTAATCCTTTGAAAAATATTTACATAAAACGTAATTGTGCTCTTAATTCACATAGGGCACTAATGGCAAACAAAAGCTTTCTTAAGTAATATCATCAATGAAACATAATAAAGTAATACATGAGGAACTATATATATGTTGTTCTTCACTTAAAAATTATGTATTTAATCCATTTAGATTGCAGTTACCCATCCAAGTTCACAGACAGGATAGGAGGGAATGTTTATGAAAAGTACAAAGAGTGCAAAGTTAAATATATCCGTGTTTTAACTGTAAAATATTACACTTCATAGCTCTCTCATAGAATCTCTTTGAATTCCCTTGTGGGCATTCCTGTTCTTTTCTTTTCAATTATAAAATTTTAAAAGTATAAGAAGAAATATTTTTCATAAGCATTAGATTCACAAAGGCTAAGCCATCATAAACGCCCCATTTTCTCCTAGTAAGGGACACAGAGCAATCCTTACTTGCAAGTGGAATGTAATTGCTTTTCCCCTTTTCAGTATTAATGTACCCATAGAGAAGATAACACAATACTCAAGAGCATTATCCTCTTTTTTCCACACAATTCAAATGTCTATATTTCTCTTTATCAGAATGCAATACCTGGCCCACAGTAGTTCTAGTTTGTGATTATAGTTCAAATAACCTTTTTCTGGCTCTATCTTTCACTTTGAAAACAACAGATTTTCAAGTGCACATCTTGACTTTATAAAGCTGTAGAAAAAGTGTTATTATTACTTTTTTTAGCATTATGTGCGCTGGTGTGAACACGTGTGCTGGTGTGCATGAGCACATGCAGTGGATCCAAAACGCATGAGTTGCACAGGATTGGTTTCTAGACCAGCATCCAGGTGAGTGGTTTGTCTCCAACTCCAAATTCAGTCCTTCTCAGGAAGTCTACACAGTTCTTTGACTCGCACACATCCTGCTGAGGAGGATTTCAGAGCAAACCTGGTTAATTGGACCTTTGACATGATACGGTGATTGAAAGTTTGTTGCAGAGTCTTGTTGTCGTTTGCTTTGATTGCTGAAATATTTTCCCACAAGATGATTTCTTGATCGTTTCATTTTAATAAAGTGATACTCTGTGGATAACTTTGATTTCACTACCTGCAAATAAAGAACAACAAAAATAGTGAGACAAAGTCAAGGACATTTAAGCCCTGCATAGAGCAGTACAACTAACTCACAAACTTGAACAGCATCTCTATCACACAGATGTTTTCCAAAGGACACAAATATGATTTACACAACCAAGAACCAGAGTGACTTATCTTTCAAAAAGGACGAAAGTCAAAATTAGAAATTCTGCCACTTTTCTTCCTCAGAGCAGCTGTCCCCACTGCAACTAAGGAATAGTCTCAGATGATTTCTCTACCACACTGCTCTGTGTGCATGTGTGTGTGTGTGTGTGTGTGTGTATTTAGGCTATACGTTAGATGCTAACATATAGACAAGACACTGACGTGTCTACTGAGGCGCTGATTCAAATATGGTACTCTAAAGCTGCCATGGCACCCTTTTATAGAATGGCAACTAAAACTATTTTCAGAGAAAATAAAAAATATTTTTCCATTGCACATCCATAATCTGACACTGTTACAATTAGTGGTTTCATTTTTCTAGGCACTTAGTGTGTTATGGAATCTGAAGGAACAGCCTATGCCCTATTAAGCTAACAACTTTATATATGTTTGTATATATGTCGCTATATTTTTATCTTAAAATTTTTTGAATAGTCAGTATTATAATCATTTTTAAAGTATAAATCAGTATATAGTAAAAAACTTCCTTCCCATCTCTGCCACCCCACCTCCAGTCGCTCAATTCTCTTCTCAGAAGCAACATATGTTACTAGCTTCTTTGTGATTCCATTCACGGATATTTTATATCAGCAGACACAATACAAACAAAGAGGCCAGATTTACTCTCTATTTGTACAGTTTATAATAAGTTGCCCTGATGAAATCCCATAATTGTTGGCTTTAATCATTGGGTTAATGTAACTCAAGTTGTTAACACCAACCGTCAGGAGGAATGAGGTGGGGACGAAGACAGAGATTGGGGGAGGGTTGGGAAGTCAGGAGGAGAGCAAGTACTGGCAAAGATGTTTTGCATGTCTTCACAAATGAATGAGAAAATCATTAATTCCATCATATTAATGCAATTACAAGACATTATTTTCAGTCGATATGGACACAAAATTTATAATTGATGACTAATGAAAGCAACACTAACTCACATGGAAATTTTTTCTATTCTTTTGAGTGCTACATAATGATTTAAGTACATTTTTTTGTGTGTAAGGAAGATTAGCCCTGAGCTAACACCTGTTGCCAATCCTCCTCTTTTTTGCTGAGGAAGATTGGCCCTGGGCTAACATCCGTGCCCGTCTTCCTCTACTTTATGTAGGACGCCTGCCACAGTGTGGCTTAATGGGCAGTGCGCAGGTCCGTGCTGGGATCCAAACCTGCAAACCCCGGGCCACCAGAAGTGCAGCACGCAAATTTAACCACTACGCCGCCAGGCTGGCCCCTTAAGTACATATTTTTGATCCCATATAAGAGAATGCAATGAAAACAGTTCCAAAAATATAGAATATTTGAAAAAAATCACATGATATCTATTTTGAAGGTAAGTATTTTTAGTAACGGTGCAAGAGAGCATGAAACTTTTTAGAAGATTTATTTGAATAGAAATTCTGTAAAGATCCACACCAAAATGTTAACAGTAGTGATCTTTGGGTGGAGGAATTACAGGTGATTTAAAATGTATTCTTTGTAACTTTTGGTCTTGACTTTAGTTTTAATACAATGAATTTGCATTACTTTATAATCATAAAAATGCTTTAGCCATCCCCATTTTGAAGAAAAAAATTTAAGAGTAAAGTGTTTAAAAATCAATTATACCCCCCTAACCCCAAAGAAATGAATTGTTTTCCTATAGCTACGGGAGGTTTGGCTTTTCATGACCAGTCCCTCAGATGAAGTGACTCTTAATAAGTCCAGTGAAATCACCGGGCCGTGGTAAGGAATCCCTGTGGATCCTCATTTAGAGCTCAGTTTGCAGTTAACCACTGATTAATATTCCAGGTCCCAAGGCTGTAAGTTTCTGTTACATGTAGCTCCTTCCACCTCTGTTTGGTTATCCTATAACTTTAAATATGGTAGGCTGGGGAGGTGCACCAATGTTTTCCTGAAGGTTCTGTTCGTTTTGGAGGAGGTTTGCACTCATCAATAGCAAGAGTAGTGAACATTTTTAAGGAAGTTTATTTGAGGAAACACTTAAGCATAAACATTACACTCAACACTGAAAAAATATTATTCCAATGTTCCAAAGCCAAAATAAGTTTAATTTTGTTTATATAATTTTATCTTAAGTTCTGGCTTTTGCAATTGCCTGATGATCTGCATGCTAATTACATGTAAAATAGATAAAGGTCCATCCTGATGCAAAAGGTTGTAATTCTTTAAAAATTCTTTAAATGTTTTCTGTGATTTCAGGGTTGCATTTAATGTTGCATTACCAATGTTGGATAATGCTAGTGTAGATGCTTATAGCAATCTTGAACATGATTCATACAAGGAATATACAAAAATATATATTTCCAGTGTATTTGCTAAAGCATATACCTTCCACTTGGGAGTAGTGTCAATATTTTGCCAGATCACAATGGGAAGGTTGATAAAATGTTTCTATTTTTAAATCATTAAGGTGATCTCTGAGAAAGGAAGACAGATGATGGGGTCTCCCCCAGCTTCTGAGGGCCAGCCTAATGCCTCCTACAGTGCCAGTGCCCCCATTATGCTACTCAAGATTGCCTCCTACACACCCATGCCAGGGATTGGCCCAACAACACTTAATTCAGTTGGTTTTCTTTAAAAACCACTTTGCAAGAAATAATCAAAGATGCTAAGTTTTCCAATTCCTTTGTTAAGCCAGTATCACTCTGATACTAAATCCTGAAAGCTGACAAACCTACAAAGAAAGAATTTTTTCAATATTAATTTGTTAAAATATAGATGTAAAAAATCCTCCTCAATTGCTATTGTAAATTGAATCCAGGAGTCTTTAAAAAATCCAGCAGTATTATGCACTATACCACTAGCACATACAATTTATTTCAGAAATTCAAGCTTCAATATTATGAAATGTTTCGTTATAAGAAATTGCCAAAGAATTATTTGTAGCTATATGATTGATTTCCCTGAAAACCCAAAGGAATATACTGAAAAATAATGATATATTATAAAGTTAATATTTAAAAATTGTATAGAGTTTCTATAGTCTATCAGTAATTAATAAGAAATATGTATTAGAGAAAAGATCCCATTGTAATACTAAAGCTACTTCATTAAGTTCAACAATGATGCAGGTGAAGAAAACATCAAAAGGTTAATTAGACATAGAAGAAAACATGAACAAATGGAAAGACATACCATGTCAAATCCTCCCAAGTTAATTAAAGTGCTGTTCCAATTGTAATCACAGCAGGATTTGAGAGGAACATGACAAAGAAATTCTAAAATACGTTGTAAAGAATAAATCTGGGAAAATAACCAAGACCATTTGGGAAGGAAAAAAGCAGTGATGAGAGGGGGACTTTCAACTCATCACTATAAATAGAGTCTACCATCAACCTACCCTAGTCTCAATTTGTTGGTTGTATAAGCCAAGTATAAGCAGAATTCAATACTGCGATAGATAGAAATGTTCACATTGTAGATTAAAATGCATTTCATAAACTGCTACTGTTTCCTAAAAATGTTTATGGAGAAATAAGGTAGTTCTAAATAAAGCCCAATGTTGTATCAATCCAGTGACCATAAATGTTGACAGCCTAATGATTTCAATTGCATGGGATTAAAATCAAGAGTGTATGTTTAAAATGGACCTAACTATGTACCAAACTTCTAATAGAGTTTCCAATGGAGAAGGCAGTGAGAATTGGGGGATGTATGTAGTGTAAAGGCAGGAGCTTTTGTTTTTATTATATATACTTATTTTTAAATTTTTAGAGTTAGCAAGAATTCAGGTAACCTTTTATAATACAAAAGCAGTAAAACAGAAATAAAATGATGCCGTATCTTATAAAATTAAAATTTAATGATTTTTTTTCCATATAATATCCATCTTTTAATCTTCAGAGTTCTCTGCATTAGGAAACACATGGAGTAATTCAGATATGGTCCCTACCCTCATGGGGACTATATAAAGACACATGTCTAAGATACTTGAAGTAAGAACAAGAATGAAATGACTTCAAAGACATTGTCTGAGACTAGCTCCCCCAGGTCAGGCACCATGTTGTTTCCATGTAATGAATTGTTCCTCAGTACATTAAGAAGACTTAGTGCTAATTTATGACGGGCATGATAACCTGTTCACACGGCTATTATTTCTTTGAACTTATTTGTAAAATTCAGTATCCAACATTGCTGTCAAACTGCTATCTCTGAGTTTCAAAGTATTACCTTATTTTACCCACTCATGGGCTCTGAAGCAGAGGAAAAGGAGTTAGCTACAATGGTAAGTCTTGGAAATGTTACGCAAGTGAAAGTGTTTGATACCTGTACAATAAAGAGCTAATTGCTTCTTTCCTTTGATCTCATGCATGGAAATGTGCCCACTTGGGTCCTTCCCAAAATCAGAGGACCATTTGGGATTATTAAAATCCAACTGAAGCGTCAACTGGAATGTGGCTTTGAAAGAGAGCTGTTAGCAATACAAATGTTAGGTTACCTCCAGGGAATAATAATAATAAACAACAGAAATGAGTTATTAGAAAACATCAGTGAAAGATGTAGGCCTTGAACCAGAGACAAAGACACTAGATGTTTGTATACAGTGGTCACCTCAATCGGAGACAGATTCTAATAGTTTGACCCCTACAAACACTTCTCTAAATTTGGGTACGCCTGACTTGACCACTGAGAAAGAGACATGTCTATCTAAAAGGATAAAGAACTACTACATATGATTAAAAATACATACATATGTGATTTGGCAAACATTTACATTACTTAAACATGAATGTTAAATGACAATTTTTTTGCCACTTTAAAATAATCCAGAGTAACTCCTTGTCTTTAGTTTTTGTTGTTGTTGTT